CCCCCCCACCCCCCCCCAGTTCGGCTTCCCAGCAGCGGGCAAACGCCTGCCATGGAGGATGCTGGTAGCAGTGGTGGAGGCCCAGAACCTGGCAACGGGCTGCAGGTCAGCAGGAGAGCAGCTTTGCAGTGTCTGAAGGGGCCACAGGGAAGCTGGGGAGGGACATTTCACAAGGGCATGGGGTGACAGGACGAGGGGCGATGGCTTCAAACTGAAAAGAGGGGAGATGGAGCTGAGATGTGTTCAATGGGGGGAGGCTGCCGTTTCCCCCCTCGGCGCCCCCGAGGCCCGGTTCCCGGGGGAAGGCCCAGGCGATGGGGCCCGTGGCGGCGGGCGGCGCCGCCGCGCAGAGGCGGAAGCAGCGGCACCGAGGCCGGGGCGGCGGCGGCTTGGAGCCACCTGGTGTGGTGGGAGGTGTCCCTGCCCAGGGCAGGGGGTGGCACTGGATGGGCTTGAAGTTCCTTTCCAACCCAAACCACCCTATGATTCTGTGGTATTTTGGCAAAAAAAAAAAGGGCAATAGCAATGATTGTGTACGTTACTTATTGCCTGGAGTTGTTTTTTACCCCACAACAGTTTGACAGCGAGGGGTCCTCACTGCCGAGCAGGGACTGGGATGGGGCAGCCCGCATGGGGCTGGAAAACGGCCAAGGCAAAGCACCAAAGGGCTCCTCGGCTGAGTTTTGGAGTCTTACCTGGGGTAATCTCCAGGCTCCCCAGCGTTGCCCCACGGTGGGTGAGGAGCGAGAGCCCAGTCTGCGCCAGCAAGGGGTGCAGGGACAGTAGAGTCCACACTGCAGCGACAGGAGCAGGATGAAACAGGGACCTTGTTCTTCATGTCCTTTCTCTGGGCTGGGAGGGAGCTCTGGGGCACTTGCACTGCGAAAGAGAAATTGTTCTATGGGTTAAATCTTTCAGATATTCCACGTCTGTAGTTTTCTAAGGTGTTACTCAGATTTCTGTTCCTCTCCTGTGAGACACTAGGAGATGGGTGCCCAGATCCCAAACTTTCTGGTGTTTGGAGACTCAGACCAGACCTGGACTGCAGCAGCAGTGCATCCTCCTCTTTTTTCTTTCTGAGATGCTTTTCTAAAAGGCCTGTGTGATACAGGATCCCATTGCCTGGAAACACTCACTCCTGCATCCCACAGGCACTCCTTGAACTCAGTGGGAATTTTATGACTCGCTGGTTATTTCCTGTATTTTCTAAAGAAGAGAAAGGCTCCTGTGCTGGGCATAGTTCAAGGTTAGAGTAAGGATGGGCCATAGTTCATAAAGGTTCCCAGTCCCAGCTAGCACCTGGAGGACAGCCTGTCCTTGGGAGGTCATCCTTCTTGGTCTGGCAGCCCCTGACAACAAAAGACCTTCACACCCACGATCTAAAGGACATCTGAAGAGAGGGACACTGTCCTGGCCAGCAGTTATACTGTCCAGCCAGTGATTGCAGCCAAGGAAAGGCTATTGGGGCTGATCAACAGGGCAGAAAGGAGGAAGGAAGGAATGCCAGCTCAGACGGTTTGTGTACATACCAGAAAGGAGAGGTGGCCATACCCATCTCCTGGGCTGCCAGGCTCTCTCCAGCCACCACAGCCTCAGTCCAGCATTGCCCAATCTAGCACAGCTTTTCCATTCTGAGTATCCATAGCCTGGGAGGTGTTTTGGTTCATCTTTGCCTCAGGAGCCGAGCTGGGTGCAGCTGCGGTGGATTTAAGTGTTGCATTAGTTGGCCAGCGAGGAAAAGGCATGATAAGAATGGAGAGGTGATTGCTGCAAGAGGCAGATGATGGGAGAGGAATTATAAATGAGCTAGTACATAAAACAGAGGGATAGCCCCAAGTCTCCTGCTAGACAAAGCTCTGTAACCTACCCCTAAGTGAGGACAACCAGGGGACCAGGACCTCTGCCCTGCAACAGGGCTTCACTCCACGTGGACATGCCAGAACCAGGACTGCTGGGTGCTCCCTGGAGCACCCCAACTATGCCTCTTCAGACTTTGCCAGCTTGGCTGGGCAGTCAGAGGCACAAGGACTAAAACTTTTTGCTTCGGAGTCTCTTTGAATGGATGCCACAGCCTGTGTCCAGCATTGCCCAATCTAGCACAGCTTTTCCATTCTGAGTATCCATAGCCTGGGAGGTGTTTTGGTTCATCTTTGCCTCAGGAGCCGAGCTGGGTGCAGCTGCGGTGGATTTAAGTGTTGCATTAGTTGGCCAGCGAGGAAAAGGCATGATAAGAATGGAGAGGTGATTGCTGCAAGAGGCAGATGATGGGAGAGGAATTATAAATGAGCTAGTACATAAAACAGAGGGATAGCCCCAAGTCTCCTGCTAGACAAAGCTCTGTAACCTACCCCTAAGTGAGGACAACCAGGGGACCAGGACCTCTGCCCTGCAACAGGGCTTCACTCCACGTGGACATGCCAGAACCAGGACTGCTGGGTGCTCCCTGGAGCACCCCAACTATGCCTCTTCAGACTTTGCCAGTTTGGCTGGGCAGTCAGAGGCACAAGGACTAAAACTTTTTGCTTCGGAGTCTCTTTGAATGGAAAATGAAAGCAGAGCTTTGTGAGCTGCTGAGCCTTTGGGACACTGTGTCCCGCTGTGCTGTGCTTTACAGAATAACAGTAAACACCACAAAGGTTCCATTTACTTTAACAGCATCCCTACCTCCTCTAGGAAACAAGGGCAAATCCCCATAATCCTGACACACGTGTGCTTAATGCTTGCTGTTAAGCATTCACCCAGCGTCAGGCCGTCTTTCCTGTGGTCTCTCACCTCACCCCTGTGATTTTGTAGGGCTGAAGATGGCGGGCAGCTCCCCTCCTTGGATCGGCAGTGCTTATCTCTTCCTCCAGTCGACGTGCAAGACCATCGTTCTGCCGTCTCTCTACGAAAGCTCCCAGAAGAAGCCTAGTGTGTTCAAGGCGCTGAAGCTGGCGTTAGCAGGTACCCGTCCTGTCCGATATCTCAGCACACGGTCTCGTCTCTCCACGTCATGCCATGCCTTTCTTTAATTTCACACTCATGGGTAAGGAAAGCTGGTGCTCTGTATATTTAGAAAAGACAAAGTGGAGCAAGTTCAGCAGAGATCCACCAAGATGGTTGGGAGCTGGAGCACTTGTCCTGTGAGAAGAGGCTGAGGGAGTTGGACCTGTTCAGCCTGTGGAAGCGGAGGATTTGGGGAACCTACCAACAGCCTGCCAGTACCTATGGGGAGCGGGAGATGGAGCCACGGTCTTCACAGTGGGGAATGGGATGCAACAGGCAAAAATTAAAATGAGAGATAGACACCAGATATGGTTCAGCCTGGAGAAGAGGAGGCTCTGGGAAGACCTAATAGCAGCCTTCCAGTACCTGAACAGGGCCTACAAGAAGGCTGGGGAGAGTCTGTTTACAAAGGCTGTCAATGACAGAACAACGGGCAATGGCTTTAAACTGGAGAAAAGCAGATTTAGATTAGACATTAGGAATAAGTTCTTTCCTGTGAGGGTGGTGAAGCACTGGAACAGGTTGCCCAGGGAGGTGGTTGAGGCCCCTTCCCTTGAGATATTCAAGGTGAGGCTCAATGAGGCCCTGGGCAACCTGGTCTAGTTGGGGGTGTCCCTGCTGACTGTGGGGAGGTCAGACTAGACCTTGAAGGTCCCTTCCAACACGGATGATTCTATGATTTTATATAAGGACAAACATTTTTCCCATGAGGACAGTCAAGCAGTTTACCAGAGCGACTGTGTATTCTTCCTCCTGGGAGGTTTTTAAAACAGGACTGGACAAAGCCCTGAGCAATTCAGTCTGACCTCAGAGCTGACCCTGCTTTGCATGGGAGGTTGGGCTAGAGACTTCCTGGGCTTCCTTCCAACTTGAACTATCCTGTGAGTTACCCTACTTTGTGAATGTTTGTTTAAAACCATTTATGTAAGAGGAGAAAGGACTGCAATTGCTACGAAAGGTGATTTAATTGCTGTCTTTATACCACCACAGAAAAATGATTTCTGCTTTGAGAAGATGATTTTTTTACATTAGCAGTAGCCAGTATAAGTTCTTTCCCGATAGCAACAGGCACAAATATATCAGCTTCAACTGTACATAACCTTATTTATATCCGAAAAGGACCTGAGATGCACATGGCCATAAACCTGTGTTTCTCTATCCACCCTTGCACCAAGCTGACTGCAGAATAATAGTAACTGAAGAGTTTATCATACTTGCCTAGAATGAGTCTCATGGCGTTCTTTACCTGTCGTAGAGCCCAACCCTTATTGTTTAATTGGGCTTGTGAAACTATTCTGTGATTTCTTCTGGCAATCACGAGTCTAGCCAAGTCAGCTAGTTTAGTCAATACGAGCCTGCTCATCTTGCAGCCCTACCCAAAAATGGGAAGCAGCAGGAGGAAGCCCGACACAGTAGTCCCGTTAGGCTTGATTTACAGCTGCTTTGTGTCACTGGAATGTAAATCCGCTCACACATTTAAAGGAAAGCCCACAAAACCGCTAAATCCTATCAGGCTTATTCAGACCTAAAAAGGACATGAAATCTGAAGCTGTCTGAAGTTCCATGAAGAAACGTGTGCAAAGTCCTCTCTTTTGAGGTAGCTTTAAGCTGTTTTGTGCACCGTTCATAAATGTTTCCATGTCTGTGCAGCTTTCCCATCCCCAGTCCTCTTACCCTGTTACGGAAGCTTTTGTTTCACCAGCACTCATGAAAAACAAAGCGTGAAGGAAGGTGATAAGAAGGCATTTCTGGTCAGCCACAGTGAATTAAAATGCCTTCCTTAGGTGCTTAATCCTGTCTCCCAGTTAGTTACACATCTGGTCCAAAGTAGACTTTCTGATGTGGCCAGGACTCAGTAAACCCTGTAACGCCACTGTTAGATCACATACTTTTAAATGCCAGGTCACTTGTCCTGCCTAATGTGGATCACACAAAACTGCTTTGCCTTGGCACCATCCCCCAGGCATGTCTAAATAATGCTACGAGACATAGTTTAGAAATACCTGATGTAGTGCCCATTGGAGCTGGTATCGCCGTACAGCCCTGTGCGAGGACAGGCCAGGAGGTTCATCTGGGTCTGGAAGCAGTACAGCCAGCCTCCCACAGGCCTCTGCTGCAAAAGACAGAAAAACACATACCCTAAACCATCATCATAAGCGTATAAAATCCCTGTGGTGACAAGGTCAATGTGCACAGCTAATCAAATTTAAATTTTGCTGGGAGAAGGAAGAATGAAGGCCCTAGACAATTTCTGTTGTCCATGTCACTCGTGCTCCCCCCATGCTAATGTTAGAGGGAACATCTCCAGCTTCATCTTGCTTAGATGTTACCATGAATTATTTCTCTAAGCAAAAGAGCTTAACAAGTCAAGGCCCAGTCTCAAGCAGCCTGATTCCTGTGGCTGGATCTATCATTCACTATTTGTGAGATGGATTGAAGGCTCAGAGCCAGCCAAAACTTGTCTCTAGGCACAGGGTGGAGAGGAAATGCTGGGTCTTTTTCCAGGACCTTCATCATTGCATAAAACTCCAGGCACTGAGCACTGAGCTGAACTGCGCGCTTTCATTTTTAAACCTTCCCGTGCTACGGGTCTAGCGTAACCATTTCTATCCAGGAAATGGAACCTCCAACTTAAAACCTCCCCTGATAAACAGTGTTGAGATAATTACCTGGGGTGTAGCACCATATGGCTTCAGCTGGACACCGTACTTCAGCAGGGCAGCAAAAACTTAATCCTTTCCTCTTGGTTTTACATACAGGTTTCTCTTCCCAGAGGACTTTATCACAGAGAGAAGAGAATTCAAAAGCTGCCCCATTGCAGGCGTGGTGGTGGATGGGAGTGGGTCTGGGTTGTCTGTCTCATGCCTGGATAGTGACTGTGCTCACTTCTCCCTGCCAGACTCCACCGGCAGCGTGAACGGTGTGGACATGCTCAAAGTGCACTGCAGCCACCCCCACCTCATAGTCCAGCTCAAGTTCTGCAAGCAGGAGAACTGCCGCCGGTTCCTGCAGAGTTACCGGGAAGGAGCGCTCCAGGAATCCCTCCAGAGTCACCTCCAGCTCTCCTTAGCCATGACCAGGGTACCTCTGGAAATGGAGCTGAAGGCTGGCAATGAGCACCTGGACAACATGCTGAAGGATGAGGATCGCTGCCTGGAGTGCATCTACAGAGAAAAGGTGAGTAGGAGAGGGAGGGAGGCCAGGCAGCAGTGAAGAGCAGTAGCACGAGACTTGGGAAGTCACAGGATCACATGGGGTTGGCAGGGACCGCTGGAGATCATCTAGTCCAACCCCCTGCCAAAGCAGGGCCACCCAGAGCAGGTCCCACAGGAACGTGTCCAGGTGGGTTTGAATGTCTCCAGAGAAGGAGACTCCACCACCTCCCTGGGCAGCCCTTTCCAGGGCTCTGCCACCCTCACAGCAAAGAAGTTCATCCTCCTGTTTAGGTAGAACCTCTTATATTCAAGTTTGTGCCCATTTCCTCTTGTCCTGCCCCTGAGCACCACTGAAAAAAGACCGGCCCCATCCTCCTGACACCCACCCTTGAAGTATTTATAAGCATTGATCAGATCCCCCCTCAGCCTTCTCTTCTCCAGACTCAAAAGACCCAAGTCCCTCAGCCTCTCCTCATAACGGAGATGCTCCAGGCCCCTCATCATCTCTGTAGCCTCTGCTGTCCCCTCTCCAGCAGTTCCCTGTCCTTCTGGAACTGGGGAGCCCAGAACTGGTCCCAGTGCTCCAGATGGGGCCTCCCCAGGGCAGAGCAGAGGGGCAGGATGACCTCTCTCCACCTGCTGGTGACACTAAAGTCCTGCTAAATCACTGTGGTTTCTGTGTCTAACAACTGTGGCTGTTATCACCACTAAGACGAGGAGTTACAGAAGGTGGAGTTGGGAGCACGAGCAAGTGTGCCTCGATACACCCGTGAGGCAGGCAGAGAGGACAGCAGTCCTGTGTGCAACTGTCACTGCTCAGCACCTTCCTCCCCCACCTCACACAACACCTCCTCTGCGAGCAGCAGTGGTAACTGCATCTAGAGATGAGTGTGAGTGCAAACACTCCCCACATTACACCAACAACTTGTGACAGAGTGGGGACACACAGCATCTGCTGCCAGCAGGAGTAGACTGCCCTTCTGAAGGCAAAGCCTCTTTCCTCTGGGGCAGTATCTAATGTCTAGCTCATCGCACACTTTGGCACTGGAACTCTAATCCTGCTAGCAAGAGCTGTGGGATATTGTCTTCTCACCACAAAACCAAGGCACTTGACATGATTATACTCATTGCCTTTCTCTTCTGATGAGATACCTGATAAGCTGATGCTACCAAACTGGGAGGGGTGGCCGACACTCCAGAGGGCTGCCCCTCTGGAGTGACCCGGACAGGCTGGAGAGCTGGGCAGAGAAGAACCTCATGAGGTTCAACAAGGGCAAGTGTAGGGTCCTGCACCTGGGGAGGAAGAATACCAGGAACCAATATAGGTTAGGGGCGGATCTTCCAGAAAGCACTTTGGGGGAGAAGGATCTGGGGGTCCTGGTGGAGAGTAAACTCTCCATGAGCCAGCAATGGGCCCTTGTGGCCAAGAGGCCACTGGGATCCTGGGCTGCAGAGGGAAGAGTGTGGCCAGGAGGTGGAGGGAGGTCATTCTCCCCCTCTGCTCTGCACTGGGGAGGCCACAACTGGAATCCTGCCTCCAGTGCTGGGCTCCCCAGTTCAAGAGAGACAGGGAACTGCTGGAGAGAGTCCAGCATAGGGCAACAGAGATGATGGAGGGATTGGAGCATCTCCCTGATGAGGAAAGGCTGAGAGAGCTGGGGCTCTTGAGCCTGGAGAAGAGAAGGCTGAGGGGAGACCTTCTTAATGCTGACAAGGATCTAAAGGGTGGGTTGAAGGAGGATGGAGCCGGACTCTTTTCAGTGGTTCCCAGTGACAGGACAGAATCACAGAATCTTCTAGGTTGGAAGGGACCTTAAAGATCATCTTGTCCAACCGTCAACCCAACTGACAAAAATAGACACCCACACAACAAACAAGGAGCATCATCACTAAACCAGACCTCCCAGCACTACATCAACCCGTCTTTTGAACACCTCCAGGGATGGTGCCTCAACCACCTCCCTGGGCAGCCCAATCCAATGTCTGATAACCCTTTCAGTGAAAAATTTTTCCTAATATCCAGCCTGAACCTACCCTGGCGCAACTTGAGGCCATTTCCTCTTGTCCTGTCGCCTGTGACTTGAGAAAAGAGGCCAACCCCCACCTCTCTACACCCTCCTTTCAGGGAGTTGTAGAGAGCAATAAGGTCATAGTCATAGAGTCATAGAGTTATAGCCATAGAGTTGCCCAGGCCGGAAGGGCCCTCCAAAGGCCATCTAGTCCGACCCCCCCGCAGTCAGCAGGGACACCCCCAACTAGACCAGGTTGCCCAGGGCCTCATCGAGCCTCTCCTTGAATATCTCCACGGATGGGGCCTCAACCACCTCCCTGGGCAACCTGTTCCAGTGCTCCACCACCCTCACAGTGAAGAACCCTCTCCTAATCTCCAATCTAAATCTGTTCCCCTCCAGCTTGAAGCCATTGCCCCTCGTCCTGTCACTGCAGGCCTTTCTAAACAGGCTCTCCCCAGCCTTCCTGCAGGCTCCCTTCAGGTACTAGAAGGCTGCTATTAAGTCTCCCCGGAGCCTCCTCTTCTCCAGGCTGAACAACCCCAGCTCCCTCAGCCTGTCCTCGTAGCAGAGGTGCTCCATCCCCCTGATCATCCTTGTGGCC